GACACATCAACTATGGTTATCTAGAGCATTATATACATTAAATTTTGAATTATTATAGGATAATGGCCTTTCTCCAAGAGATTCTCTATTCTAATAACTCAAAGGCCCAATATCATCACAAACTCCTGTTTGGTGGTCTGCCCTCGGCTCTCAGTCCTGACTGGTTTAATAAAAAGCCAAATAGTCAATAGCTAGGCAGGATTTCCAGAAACAGACAACTAGGAAGAAGAAGGGTGGAGATGCCAGGAGAGGCAGATGAGGTAATAAAGCCACAAGGCAGAAAGTAAATTAGTAAAAATGGGTTAATTTAAGTTATAAGAGCTAGTTGGAAATAAGCTTAAGTTATTGACCGAGCTTTCATAATTAATAAGAACTCTCCATGTGGTTATTTGGGAGCTGGCAGGTGGGACAGAAAAGTCCACCTACAAATAGTGTCCAATGTGGGAGCACATATTTCCACATAAGACCTGAGAAAGCTTAAACAAAGGTTTCAAACACACAAAAATGGAGCCAAACACAGCTCCCTAGCCCTAAAGTCTCTCATGCGGGCCACGGTAGAGTCACATCTCCCAGCTTGTGTGCTTGAGCCTCTAGCGCACCATGAGCTAAGCTGTGCAGTGGTTTAAGTTTTGTTCATGCGGACAGAAAAGATATACAACAGAGCAGGTTCAGATTGAAAAAAAAAACCTCTAAACAAGTTACAGTGTGTTTAACAATGTGCATAGGCTTAAGAAAAAAAGAAAAAGGATATAGACAGTCATAAAAATACTTTAAAAATAATAAAGTAAAGTCTTTAAAGAGAGAAGTAAAGTAATAAAAAAATTAAGTCACATAGAGACGGGAAATATTATAACACAAGGAGTTTGGACCTTATATGGTACTTTGTTAATTTAAAATTTTTTATTGCTGGTGAGCAAACAATAGCTGCTGAGAGACATTGGATTATGGAAACTACTAAATTAAGCCAACAAATATATTTTTAAAATGTCTTAACTTCAAATGGAAGTTAAAAAAAAAATGTGCCAGGTGGTGGTGGTGCACACCTTTAATCCCAACACTCGGGAGGCAGAGCCAGGTGGATCTCTGTGAGTTCAAGGCCAGCCTGGTCTACAGAGAGAGATCCAGTACAGGCACCAAAACTACACAGAGAAACCTTGTCTCAAACTGTGTCCCCCCCCCAAAAAAAAAATGTTACGTTGGGGAAGAGGTTATGAGGTTATGCTTTTGTTTCCACAGAAAATGAAAGGTTGAAAAGAAAAGACTATAAATTCATTCAAGGTTGATAGAGATCAGATTTGATCATGGGAGAGCCCTTGAGAAGCCTGACTACAGACATAAAAAATAAACCTAAAAAAACCCTACAAGACAGGTGACATATATTTTACCTGCTCAAACATAAAACAAACAAGCAAAAAAAAATCTTTGGCTGCCTTGTACAATGCACAGTTCATACTTGTGTTAATGCAGACATGCATGTTACCTTTGAAAATTTATGTGTTTTCAGAGCAAGGGGGACCAGGCACTAATGAAAACGGGTGGCCCAGGTGACCCAGCCTCTCAGATGCCTCTGTTGCAGTTTCCTCAGAGTTCTGCATCCAGAACAGCTTCAAGGCTGCTGGCTGAGATGGTCCAGCCTCACAGACTATTCTACCCAGGACTTGACCATTATCCTAACTTTCTCAGGATCCCCCAAAGATTCCAGTGCCCTCAGACAACAGGAAGCAGTCTAGAGAACATAATACTCACATTCTTGAGAGGTGGGGTGGGTGATTTTGGGTCATTTGATGGGTTATGGATGTTTGCCATCATTTAGGGGGGTTAGTTACAAGTTATTATTGGTCATGGTCAGGAAGAAAGTTAAACAAAAGAGACTGGATTCAAGGATCTCGTTCAAAAGGGAAAAAGGGGGTATATGATATAGAAACGATGAGATAAAAGGGTAGATTGTTAAGTTTACTTTTGAACAACCGCTAGACTCAAATATTTTACATTGGTATGGATTTTGGGTTTTGTTTTGTTTTGTTTTGTTTTAAGGCATTAGCCACCACTGCCTGGCAAATATTTATTTATTTATTATGCATACAGTGTTCTGCCTGAATCTCTGCAGGCCAGAAGAGGGCCCAGATTACATTACAGATGGTTATAAGCCATCATGTGGTTGCTGGGAATTGAACTCAGGCCCTTTGGAAGAATAGCCAGTGCTCTTAACCTCTGAGCCATCTCTCCAGCCCAGATTTTGGGGTTTTGATACACATTTAGTTATTTTTGTTATACTGAATGTATGTTTCTACTCTTGTTTGGGTATTGTGCTTATGTAGCTCATTTAAAAATGTAATGTATAATTAAAATGCAGGTTAGTAGTTAGTCATCTATAATAATCAAACTTGTAGTTATGTTAGTTTTCAAGGTCATACAGAGATATATTTTAGATAGATAGATGATCTTCAAACACTTCAAAGACCTACAGAATATGGCATTTAAAGCGTTTTAATAATGTAAGACTTTTCTTGACAATGAGACACATCAACTCCTGGCAGCACTAATTTACTTCCAAAAAGAATGATGGAATATTGAAGAACCTCCAATTGGAACTTACTTTCTTTGTGACAAAAAGCTAGCCATTTTGGCAAGTAATTACCCTTGCCTCAACTGCTGACAGTATGCTGTCCAAATCGGAGAAGCAGAACACAAAGGAGTGACTGCTGAACTTTGCCAAAACAGGATAAGATAGTCCTTCAAAATTTTTCCTGCTTCACAGAAAAGTCTGTCAGATATTCTAGGCCTGTAGGTTGAAGATAGATGCCCCAACATTGCAGAAGAACCTTGGAGTGACTGTTCAGACAGTCAGATGTCTCTGTCATTTCTATAGTTTTGGAAGTTGCTTGCTCTGCACTTCCTGTTTACTAAGGTAATATTATATCCTTCTTGAGTCTCTGATGGAGTTAAAAATGAGATAGTTATAGTTCCAGTTTCCCTCAGACATGATAAAAAAAATAAATTAGGTACAAAACTTTGAGCTCATCAAGAGAGAATAGATAATGGAGTATTTTTTTTTAAAGATTTATTTATTTGGGGCTGGAGAGATGGCTCAGAGGTTAAGAGCACTGGCTGCTCTTCCAGAGGTCCTGAGTTCAATTCCTAGCAACCACATGGTGGCTCACAACCATCTATAATGAGATCTGGTGCCCTCTTCTGGCTTGCAAGGATATGTGCAAGCAGAATACTGTATAAATAATAAATAAATAAATCTATTAGAAAAAAGATTTATTTATTTATTATGTATACAATGTTCTGTCTGCATATATGGCTGCAGGCCAGAAGAGGGCACCAGATCTCATTACAGATGGTTGTGAGCCACCATGTGGTTGCTGGGTATTGAACTCAGGACCTCTGTAAAAGCAGCCAGTGCTCTTTACTGCTGAGCCATCTCTCCAACCCAATAATGGAGTATTTTCTCTAAATTTGCCAAATACAAATGGACTGAACATTGTGAATGTAATCCTTATTTTATAATTGTTTTTATTGTATATAGTTTCATTTGTTAAAATTAATAACTTTCCTTTCTATTTAGACAACACCTGATAATTGTTCTTATTGTATATAGTTTCACTGTGTTAACTTTTTAACCGTAAAAAGTTAAAATCTTTCCTTTTTATTTAGACCAAAAGGGGGAATTGTTGTGGAATAATCTTTTTGTACACTGTGAAGATGTGTGATTGGTTTAATAAAAAGCTGAATGGCCAATAACTAGGCAGTATTTCCAGGCACAGAAGATGCTGGGAAGAAGAAGGGCAGAGATACTAGGAAAGACAGAACAAGAAGAATGGGCAATATGGAGATGAGATAATAAAGCCACAAGGTAGAAAGCAAATTAATAGAAATTTAAGTTATAAGAGATAGTTAGAAACAAGCCTAAGCTATCAGCTGAACTTCCATAATTAATAAGAAGTCTCTATGTGGTTATTTGGGAGCTGGCAGATGGGGCAGAAAAATCTGCCTACATTGCCATGTCCACATTATCTCTGTGAGAAAGGCCAAAGCCTAGGAGGAATATTTTTGACTCTTTTCACATGACCAAAGATGATAAGGCATAACACCAGCTATATTCCCTCACTGTCCTTGTATTCACTTAAGCTAGCTGTAAACATCATCTCATGTTTTGCTTGTTTAATAATAAAAATGAGAAGTGCTTTGTTGGCATTACTTTTTATCTCAAATGCCTGGCATCCCCAGAGTATGGTCACATATCAGATATTTGGCAATTTAGCAAAATTCCTTTGATTCTTGGAGACTTAGCCTCACTGGCCATGGGGCAGGTCAACAAAGAGACCTTATTCTGACCCAGAGATAATGGAGCACCCACCTTAGGGGCTGATGCCCACACAAGGGGATGGGTTGCTCACCCCAAGGTATGATGGCTTGCCCACCCTGAGGTGATGGATTGACCACCCTAGGTGATATATTGTCCACCACAGGAGCCTGGGATCATTCCCCAGTGAGGCAGCTTGTGTTCTTCCTGGACTAAGGACACACCCACCTGGGCACAGGGTGAGGGGTGCCCGCGGGCACTTCATTGCCTTCTGCACACATGGTGGTATCCTGTAATGGTTTTGCAGCAGAAAAGACATCAGGCACCACATACCCTCAAGGCTGGGGTAAGGGGGATCCACCAGGAGATGTACAGCTGTCAGGGCTGCTAATGCAGGCAGAGACCCTGTGATCCTCAGCTGATGTCATTTATCTTCTCTGGGTTTATAATCCAGCAAAGCTGGGCTGCAAAACAGAGAAGCCATGACGACAACTATTCCTTGCCTAGTGAGGTTCCATCTATTAACTTTCAATCATTTGAACTTATATTTAAAGTTACACTAGCTATTTTATCAGTGAATCTGAGACTTCCCATTTTATTTAGCTGATCTTCAGGTGCTGAAAAAGTTGCTTATTTTTTTATTTCATTTGTTACTTGTTTTCTAGAGCTGTATACCTGCTGTGGGCTTATCATAGTGTGAGCGGCCGATGTTTCTCCAGATTTGTTTATTGGCCTCTGGTGCTGGACTCCGTTTAGTGGTTAGCTTAAGATCAATCACTCTGTTGGGCTTTTCTAGCAGTCTTGGAGATCTCTCCGTCTGTCCGTGGAAGGCAGCACTCTCAGCAGCGTGGTAAAGAAGATGGTTCATCCGGCTTCTGTGTCTAATGTTGAAATGCCCTGTAACTTTATAATGTGTGATTATACAGCAGGGAACTGCACCATCTCTGAACATTCCTTCATATAATACTGTTCATTGCTTTACATCCTTTGCAACTTAGGAACTCTCTTTGTTTCTACAACTCCTCAGTATCAGTGAGGAGACAGTGGGTTCCAGTGAGAGTAGACACCGCCACCTCCTGGACCAAAGCAAGCATTGGCCCAGGCACTACTTCCGCACTATTGAAGGAATCCGTGCCATTTCCCACAATGAACTGACGCAGCTTTAAACCAGGACACCTCAACATTGTCCAGGGAAATCCTGAGGATGCTTCGGAGCAGCTGTAGGTGGGTTGTTAGAGTTAGTCAGATGTGTGGCATCTCATATGAAGGAGTGTTGTGGGTTCTGGTTATTGCGGGAGAATGATGTGTTGAGCTGCTGGGGGAGAAGTTTGCAGAGCTCACCTGGGAGAAATGTGCAGCAAGACGGAGCCCATGATTCTTTGCCAGTTGGGTAGACCATCAGAGCAGCTTTTATAAAAAAAGGAATCTATGGGTGACAGGACCCGCTTTACCCATAGGACTCTGAAGATAGTGTGAGTTTCTGTGTTATTAGATCGAAATCACCAATAAAACAAGATGATCAATATGATGCATAAAGCCACCTGGTACTCTTGACACTGCCTCCCCTGCCACAATAGAGTGAATGCTTTCTTAAACTGTAAGCCCAAGGCAACCCTTTCTCCCTTAAATTACTCCTGATCTAATATTGGTCACAGTAATGAGATAATAAACGGATGGAGCCGTCGGCGACAACCGTGGGTGTGTTGCCGTTATAAACCTGAAGCTTTTGGAACTGATTTGTGGGAGGAATGTGGAGGACTCTGCAGCCATGGGTTAAAGAAATTCTGAAATGCTGTACGTAGAGTTTAATGGGTCTTTCTGGGGGCATTAGGAGGACAAGCATGCTGAGAGAAATGCAAAACGTGGAGGTCTCAGAGAGTGTGTTCGTTGCTCTGCTCATCGCTGTGAGCAAGTACTTGACAAGAAGCAGTTTAAGGAGGAGGCGTTCATTCTGACTGACAGTTTGAGGGGTCCTATAAACACAGGGAGGCATGATGGCAGGGGCAGGGGGACAGCTGGTCACATTGCAGCTATAGCGAAGAAGAGGAACATGAACGTTACTGTTCTCCCTTGGATTAAGTCCCCGACTCCAGCCCATGGGATGTCACCACCACAGTTAACCTCAGTTAACCAGGTTAATCCTTCACAGACGTGACCAGAAGTGAAAGGATATGGAGGTGAAGGTGAAGGTTAGAAAGATCAAACCTGTCATAGGTGTGAGAAATTACCGCCCCCACACACACACCCAAGAGTACCTGGTGTGTATTCCTCTAGTGAAAGAGGACGTTCTGGGGAATAGATGCATTTCTGTGATAAATACTATGACCAACAGCATCTTGGAAAGGATTTCACCTTACAACTCTCAGGTCACACTCCCATCACTAAGAAGAGTCAGAACAGGAACTCAAGGCAGGAACAATCTGCTTTGTTTTGCTAGGTCGGTATGCTGTCCAAGTGCCTTATACATATACCCATAGACTGGTGCTGTCTTCAGCCTTGACCAAAGAAGCTTCTCTCTGTAGTGAACGGTGGTTAATTCAGAAATCCATGGCTGGATAAAAGGCTGAGAACAAGTAACTAGTGAGTGGTCCACTTTAAATGCACATCACATCACCCCTCCCACCCCACCCCCAAGGATCAGCACAGAAGAGGATGCAGAAAGAATGTAAAAGCCAGACAGTGGGGAGGAGGGCCATGGAATGCTATCTTATGATATGGGCTGTGACACTCATGAACATCTGTAGTTGTATGCATGGGACCTACCTACGCAAAACAGCCTGTAAACAGTCACAGATGAGGCCCATGGGGCCCTGTCCCACCCAGGTAAGCTAATGAAGGAAAGGAAATCACTGTCTTCAGGGGTCTACCCTGCTGATGCTCCAGTGGGCAGCTCCACACCCATGCCCATGGGCCTGGCCCTGGTTAAACCCAATAGGTCACAAAGCAAAAGCAAAACCAAACAGAAAGACAAAAAAAGAAAAAAAAAGGGAGATGACAGAGCACAAGTTTGAGCAGAATGCATTGTACACGTGTGTGAAATTTGTCAAAGAAGAAATTTTAATTTTTAAAATGAGAGGTTGCTCCGCAGGCCTGAGGACCCGAGTTCAGATCCCCAGCATTCACATAAATACAGGCATGGCTGGCGCCTGTAAACCCAGCCCTGGGGCCAGAAGCAGGCAGATCCCAAGAGTTCACTGCCCAGCCTGTCTAAGCAAAAATGATGACCTGGTTCAGTGAGAGGCCCTGTCTCGAGGCAGTAAGATGAAGAGTGAGGCAGGAAGGACCTGGAATTGCTGCTCCCACTCTGCACACACACAGGCTCGTGTGAGCAGCACGCACAATCATTTAGGGTAAGTGTATAAGTGAATGAGACAAAGGAAGGAGGCAGGGACAGAGAAACAGAAAAGAACCCGTGTGGGGAGTGGAGGAAGTCCCGCGTGAGCCTGTGTTGTTGACACAGGCACAGCCATATCAAGGACTCCAGTGCCTCAACCCCCTGGGAATGGCGAAGCTTCCCTTCTGGTCTGAGTGTGGATGATGAGAGTGTGTGCTGAAAATGCCCACCATAGCAAAAACTATTTTTGATATTCATGGCCTGAAGACATGGCTCCCCTACAGAGACTGGTCCTAATGACCAGTCTAAACCTGTCTTCTTGATCCAGCTGTAGAGCATAAACCCTGCCTCCTTGTTTATCTGTATGCAGTAATGCTGCCTGTCTGCTCAACTATGTATAATAAATACACTGCGCTCCGGGTGTGCTGCGGTTTCTCCATCCAAGAGCCCAGGTCACCTGATCTCAGCTGAGATGCTCTGAAAGAGAACGGTCCCCATGGACTTACATATTTGAGAATTAGGAGGCGTGGCCTTGCTGGAGTAGGTGTGTCACTAGAGGTGGGCTTTGAGGTTTCAAACGCCCACTCCATTCCAACTGGCTTTCTCTCTGCAGACCTCCAACTTGCGGATCAGGATGTAAGTTCTTACTCCAGCACTATGCCTACCTGCTGCTGTGCTCCCGGCCATGACAGTCACAGACTCGGTCTCTGACACTGTAAGCAAGGCCCCAATGAAATGCTTTCTTTTGTAAGCTGCCTTGGTCGTGGTGTCTCCTCACAGCAACAGAACAGTGACTAAGACAACAGCTGTCTGTGTGTCCAGGTGTCCGCCGGTTTGGCTTCTCTTCATTCTGTCAGCAAGTCGAGCCAAGTCCCTGGGAGCCGAGGATGATGCAAAGCCCAAGGTGAAACAGGAGGCAGGTGAAAAGAGTGGAGAGGAGACTGAGGCAGCGGTGAACGCCTCTAATCCTAGCCCTCTTCTAGCGTGGGGGAGGCACAGGTGCATCTGGATGAGTAAGAGGCCAGCCTGTTCTACATAGTGAGTTCCAGGATAGCCGGGGCTGTGTAGAAGGACAAATCTTATTCCTCAATAACAAATAATAATAATAATAATAATAATAATAATAATAATAATAATAATAATAATATAACTGCAAGAAAAGGAATAAAAATGAAAACATAAAGCTTTATTCTGAGTCCTCAAGAATGACATTCTTGTTATTCTTGTGATTTGGTCTGGTGTTCAGATGTCCATCCGAGATGACTTCTCTTCAGTAGCTGTCCTGGTTAGTTTTTATTGTCAATTTGACAAGCTAGTGTCATCTGGGAACAGGGAACCTCAACTGAATAATTGCCTTCGTCAGATGGGCCTGTGGCCATGGCTGTGAGAAACTGTCTTGATTGATGATTACAGCTACCGTGGGTGGCACCGTGCCCAGGAAGGTGGGTCTGGGCTGTATCAGAAAACTGACAGAGGGCAAGTGAGAGGGAGGCAGAGATCAAGCCAGTAAGCAGCCTTCCTCCAAGGCTTCTGCTCCAGGTTCCTGCCTTGAGTTCCTGCCCTGCCCTCTCCCAATGATAGACTGTTAGCTGGAAGTGTAAGCTGCACCTTCCCTGCACCCCAACTTGCTTTTGGTTGTCATAGCAACAGGACAGCAGCTTCCCTTCTTTGTATACCAAGAGCTTCCATTGGCCGTACTTGGTTTTGGGGTCTGTGGGCTGGGTAGATTCTCCTGAGTTAGGCTCCCCAGGTTATGCACCCAGCAGGGAACGGGGTAAGGGATGGGAGGTTAGTGCTCTAGCCCAGGACTGTCTCCAAAGTGTACTGGAGACGAGGTAAGCAAGCACAGATCTGGACACACAGACCAGTCTCCATTCTTTCAAGACCTACTCAGCATCACATACCCTGCTAGCAGGATGAGGTTGTGGGCACCAAGAAGTCTGCAGAGCTTGGGATGTCTCCATTGATGGGTTAATGAACCACAGCAGACAGCCAACTCCAGAGTCTGACCCCAGCTGACCTTGGGCTTGGAAATATCAGCCTCCATGGTTATCCTGAGGTGACAGGCTCATTGGCCACTGAGAATGGGGCTACCCCTGCTTCACAGCCTGGGCTAAGCCTTTCCCATGAGATTTCTTTGGCATCCTGCCTCCCCGTGACTACCTCCAATGACTGTTCATCACCCTGGGGTCATGGCTAGTTGACTCAGGGCTCCCTGACTTACATTTTTCCTTGTTCTCAGGTCTCCAGGAATATCTGTCTTAAACAATTAGTTCTAGCTCAAAATGATGCACAGTCCTGGCTCGGTGAGGAATGAACCTCTTTCCCATTGTTGACCTGTCCCACCAGAAGACTCAACGTGTCACCAAAACTACTGGATTTGAGGCACACGAGGACCACCAGCTTGTCTCGTTGATAAGACTGTGGTTTCTTTTCACTGGGATCACCTTGAGGCAGATAGAAAGACAAAAGGGACACAGGAGAGGGAAGAAGCCCCACACCCCAGAATCTGGATGCCAATGAGAAACTGCAACATACGTGATAATTAAAATTGCAGATTCTCCATCCCTAAAGATGTCTCAAGCAGGGACGCTAAAACAGCAAATACACCATGCTCGTTATCCAGGACCAGAATGTTTGTGACCTCTGCATTAAGCCAGAAGCCCTCACATCCCTACAGTTTACCTTATAAGCCACCTTACAATTTCATTTGCAAAGGGAAATTCCTTAAGAAAAAAATATTTTTACACTTAATTAAAAAATGTATCTTTAAATGTGCATGAGTATTTTGCTTGCTGTATATATGTATGTGCACCATATGATTGCCTGGTGCCCTCGGAGGGAGATGTGTGTGTGTGTGTGTGTGTGTGTGTGTGTGTGTGTGTGTGTGTGTACCATATGCTTGCCTGGTGCTCTCAGAGGCTGGAAGAGGAAGTTGAAGCCCCTGAAATTGGGTGATTATGTCACCACGTACATTTGTGGAACTGAACCCGGGTCCTTTGGAAGAGAAGCCAGTGTCCTCTCCAGCCCTACTTAATTTTTAAAGTTTGAAAATTAAAAAAAAATAAAGATCTGTAAAGTCGTTGTAAGTCACATTCTTCGTACAATGTAATTTACACAGCATCAATCTATCCTAAATCACAGAGCACTATGGAGGCGGAGGATCTCAGGAACTTTGAGACCAACCTCTTCTTCACAGCAAGACCTTGACCGGGAGGATAGTCAGTAAGAATCTTATCTTGGAAGAGGAGGAGGAATAAATAGGAAGGGAGGAAGGAAGGAGGGAGGGAGGGAGGGAGGAAGGAATCATATACCCAAGGACAGCTCTCTCTAGGGCTTCCTTCTGAAGTGTGTTCTGTCCCTCATCTCTCCTTAAACGTGCTCACCTCACCTCACTCTGACTCTTCTGAAATTCGTCTCTGTCCTATAGTTCAGGGTCCAGCTTTACTGGAGTGAATGGCAGTGTTGGACTCCACCAACCTGCCTCCACCGCCGACCTGCTTCGACTTCCCGGTGAGATTTCTTTTCCTTCTCCTGCAAGGGGGTCCGCACAGCTAGAATGCTGGCATGCTGCCTGCTTCCTTCACTTTGTCCTGCTCCTCCACACTTTTAAAAAGATATCTGGGGTGTGTGTGTGTGTGTGTGTGTGATAGTGTGTATGCTGGCTGGTACTTCAGGAGGCCAGAAGGCATCAGATCTGTAGCTGGAGTTTCGAGCTGTTGTGAGCCACCTGGCTTGGGTGCTGGGAACCAAACTCGGATCCTTTGGAAGAGAGGACGCACTCTTGACCACCGCCATCTCTCCAGGCCTGTGTGATTCTGATGTGATTTCACTCTTTCTGGAATTAGGATAGGACAACGGTTCTCAGCCTATGGGTCACAACCTCTTTGGAGGTCAAATGACCCTCTCACAAGGGTCACCTAAGGCCATCGGAAAACATGAATATTTACATTGATTCCTAACAGTAGCAAAATTACAATTATGAAGTAGCAACAAAAATTATCTTATGGTTGGGGTCGCTACCATGTGAGGAACTGTACTAAAGGGTGACAGAGTTAGGAAGGTTGAGAAGCACTGGGATAGGGTGTGTGTTGATGGTCATCCAGCTTGGCTTCTTCCTGTGTCACAATGCTAGGCGTCACCACTAGATGGCACACAGGACCTTCAAGCTTGCTTTTGAATTTCCTCCTTCCAATATCCTTTGTGTTGACATACTTATCAGGGACTGGCAAGGAGCTGGAAAATTTTGCAGTGTTCAAGAAACATTTTGTGCAGAAAAGGAACTTACTTCTCAAGTTCAATGTCAATTGGAACTTTTAAAAAATTATATTTATTTATTTATTATTTATTGATTGGAGTAGGGACACATGTGGTCTGTAGTGGGGAATATGGAGGTGTGTATGGAGGTGTGTATAAAGGGTGTGGTAGCCCACACCTTTAAGCCCATCACTCAGGAGGCGGAAGCAAATGGGATTTCTGTGAGTTTGAGGACAGCCTGGTCTACAGAGTGATTTCCAGAACAGCCAAGGCCATACAGAAACCCTGTCTGGGGGTGGGGGTGGTGTGTGTGTGTGTGTGTGTGTGTGTGTGTGTGTGAGAGAGAGAG